TTATGTACATTACAATAGTTTGTGTTAGTTTCTTTTTGTTTCTAAAATCACACATACAGTTTTATTCATTATGTGTTGATTTTGTTTACTCATTTCTTGTTTGTTTTTCTTTTAAATTCATGTATACAGTTTATTTATTTTATTCTTTTTTATTAAAATATACAGTTTATTTTTTTCGTGGGGTTCTTTTGTTTCTAAATTCATACATACCATTTAGTTATTTTGTGTTTTTTTTTCTCTAAATTCATACATACAGTTTAGTTAATTTGGTGCTAGAAGTATTGATGATAATTTAGAAAAAAAATAAAACCTTTTTTCCATTACTACAGTATATTTAGTATAGTATACAATCTCCTCCCCCAACCCCACCTATAAAAAAAGTTTAATAAAGGTTTGCAAGCAATCTATGAAAGGTCAGTTAAATAAGACCTACTTTCAAATCAGAAAGAGTAAGCATTTGTTAGTTAAAATTAACCAATGAGTGAAAGAGGTCAGGAAATCTGTTGTGAATGTTAGTTTCTAGAAGGTGATAGATAAGAGAAATATTTGGTTTTGAAGTTTCTAGGATTATAGAAAAGATGATTTAAAATGGTATAAATTAGAGGAAAGTTGGTAAGTTGAAGTCCTTTGGTTGCTTAGGGTCCACAAGTGTTTTTTAGAGTCAAGTTAAAGATATAATGTTCAGTTCTTTAAGAATAAAGTTGAATCAGTATAAATTTGTCTCTGTACAAAGTTGTATCAGTGTAAAGTTGTAATAGTTTACTACTGTCTGACTAAGAAATATTAGTTGATGGTTTTATAATTTCATAAAATTGATAAGAATTTTATGTAAAGTTAATGATGAATTGAAAATGAATGTGTTTGAAGAAGTTCATTTAAAAAAACATTTAATGTGTTTTAATAATTTTAAATTTCCATGGCAAAAGGATTCTGTTTGTACCTTTGAATATATATAAAGTATATATTGTATTGTAAGCTTTTTGACATTTTGAGGATTTGGCTTATCGCCTCAATTTAAGTCATGTCATGCCCATTATCCATCTTACTTCCCCTTTATACCTAAAGTGCTAAACTAAGTTATTAAAAATAATGTCCATTCACAATTCAAATAGTAAAATTTATATAATTTTAAAAAATTTATAATAGTAATAATTATAGATTTATATAGCGCTTTTTCCATGCTTATAGAAGGCTCAGAGCACTATGGTCCAATCTCATTTGTGAACCAGTGGGCGTTCAGTAAATACAACTTAAACCTCAAGCCCTCTTCCTATGTAGCCAAGCCAAGCTTACTTGAACTTAGCCTCACAATCTTCTAAATAATTATACATTTACAATTACTTTGCCCAATTTTAAATCAAATTTTAGTAGTCAACTCCACTTCTCGGATAAAGCCCAGTATTTTCCAAGGGTCATCAGAATGATAATAATCAGTGTTTTTAAGTTGTCTGCTCAAAAAAATTCCCTCTAATATCCTGGTATCTGGGGCAATCAGGGAGGATATGTTCCATAGTGAGATAAGAGTCACAGTACTCACACAGTGGAGGCTATTCTCTCTTCAGCACAAAGAGGTTGTGCTGTATGTGTGACCAATCCTAAGTCTGAACACACTCGTGCTTCCACACCTTGTAGGACCCTTAATGTGGACTGCATCCTGACATAGGGCACAATCTGTCTTAGTTTGTTGTGGGTATTGTAAACACAATGACAGAAAACTTCTCCCAAATAAGACTAAAACTAACCTCTTCCAAAAAAATCCACAAAAGAGTGGACCAGAGCACACTAAAGCAGGCATAGTAGCACAGAAACATCCAACAGAATTAATAGTAATCTTGTTCAGTTAAAAAAAATAAAGTAGCAACTAAAAAAAAACTTTTAAGCTAACTTTTATAGATGACTTCCTAAAAGCATTGTTATAAATAAAGGGATATTTCTTTATATAAAAGGGGTCCCTTTCAGACCTTGTGATTTATAGCGCTGAAGATGTTAAGGTCTTCTGTGGCTTATGGTTAACAAAGGTGTCAAAGAGCCAACACAACCAACAAGCTCTTTAATTTTCTCCTACTAATGTTTGATTTGATTTTGGGCACATCGGCACAATTTAGGCCATGTCGTGGTCCTTCAAGGGCCACTCTCCCTCCACACAACAAGGGCAAAATTCTATACAGTCATATCATTAAAATCAAGGTCTATTCACAGTTAAAATAGTAGAGGTAGTAAAAATTTAATAATTTGGTAAAAATCTAATTTAATAGTACATGTTTACAAATTCATAAATCAGATCTTCATAGACAACCCCACTTCCAGGATAAAGCCCAGTACCTTCCCAGGGTCGACATTATTGAATAGTGTTTTTAAATTAGTGGCTCTAAAATATTTCTCCCCGACATCCTGGTATCTGGGGCAGTCGATGAGGATGTTCCATGGTGAGGCGAGAGTCACAATACTCACAAAGTGGGGGCTCTTCTTTCTTCAGCACAAAAGAGTGCGTGATGTAGGTGTGGCCAATCCTAAGTCTGGACATGGTCGTGCTACCACGCCTTGTCAGACCCTTAGATGTGGGCCGTTTATTATGAGTCTCAGCCTCCCATCGGTCCTGCCACTCTTGATAGGTGGCAGAGGCAATACTTTGTCTCAGGTCCGAGCATGATTTAGGGCTCTCTTTGCTTCTCTGTCTGCGGCTTCGTTTCCCTCAATTCCAACATGGGAGGGGACCCAGATGAAGGTGACATTCCTATGGTCGGCTGTTATTTGGTCCAACAGCTTCAGGCTCTTAAGTACCAATGGAATGCTTGCAATGCAGATTTGGAGTCGGAGCAGATTATAAATTTCCTCCTTTCTGATACGTTGACGGCCATAAGTGCAAGCGATATTGCATGCAATTCGGCCGCAAAGATGGAACAGCCATCAGGGAGTCTACGGGAGATTGTTTTGTTCCGAAAGGAGCAGGCACACGCAACCTTTCCATCCATTTTGGATCCGTCTGTGTAGATGGTGCCACAATCTCCGTAGCTCTCCTGCAGTTTCCTAAAGTGGACTTGTAGTATGCTTGGGTCTGTATTTTCTTTTTTGAAATTAAGGAGGGATAAATTTAATTTGGGATTATTCATTAGCCAAGGAGGATTCTGAGGGGTTTCTATTTTAGAGATTTGGTCAATGGGTGGGGTTAAATTTTGGATGGGTTCTCTCATTCGAAGGCCCAACGGCTGTATGACATTAGGCCTTCGATTGTATAATTCTACCTCTGTGGGGTTAAATATGGAGTCAAAAGCAGGGTTCGTGGGGTTGGATTTTAGCTTGACTATATACTGCATTGCAAGCTTTTTAATTCTTATATCCATGGGGAGTTCTCCAGCCTCCACATGGAGGCTTAGGATAGATGATGTACGAAACGCGCCGAGACAGAGACGCAGGGCAGCATTTTGTATTGGTTCCAGTATTTTTAGGTACGACTTCGTTGCTGCTCTATATATTATGGATCCGTAGTCTAGCTTGGATCGAATTAGACTCCGATATAGCAGCAGCAAGGTATCTCTGTCAGCTCCCCAGTCCATATGGCTAAGTACTCTAAGTATGTTTAATGACTTTTGGCATTTCTTCTTAAATTCCTTAATTTGGGGGAGAAAATTAAATTTGGAATCTAGGGTGAGGCCTAAAAATTTTGTAGTTTTCACGACAGGGATCTTCTTTTTGTGTATAAATAGTTCAGGGTCTGGGTGGAGTCCCCTTAAATTCAAGGCAAAAATAGCAGCATACATATTAATTTAGACATCATTTTTTTTTTATTGTGCTTAACGTTTATGTAAGAAACATCTTCCTTAATACTGATTTTTATTATGGATAAATATTTCTACAATGTTAAAAGGATAAGATCGAACCGTAGGCATTTTGATGATTATATTTATACAGGTCTAATTCAACCCCCCCCCCAAAAAAAAGTTATGAAAACGTTTGTTATAGTTTAATTAATTTTCTTTAGTTTAGTTTAACTACATTTTGAAATTCGTGATAAACGTTTAGTTTAACTACTTTATTTTAGTAGAAAACTAGTTTTAGTTTAACATTTAAAAAGTAAGTTTAGTTCACATCACTATGAACCATATAATGGCTAATTAAATTTAACAATCCTTTTTGACATATTTAACTTTAAAATGGTCTCTCACTACTATGAAAAAACAAGAGTGTATAACACTAGGAAGAAGGAAAAAAAAGTCTCCATTGACAACTTAAATGGAGTGATTATTTTATCTTAATCACTGATGAATGTTAGATCATTTTTACCCCACCAGATTCCCCAATGCCTCTTAAGAAAGAATCTGTGTTTAGGGAATGTACAGATCTGCTAGATTTTGGCCAGCAAGGTAGCAATTCTTTTGTCATGATATACAACAAGAATTTTTAGGAAAATTGTAAGAAGCCATTCTTGAGCTCTGTGTCCAGGTTTTTAAACCAACCCAACCAAAAAGTTCGTTTCTATGAGTTGAATAGACATATTAAAAAAAAGAGTTACAAAATTCCCTAATATATTAATGTAATTTTTCACCAGTAGGAACTGTAAAGTGAATTTTCCAAAATGAGAAGGTAACAAATCTTTTCGAAAACTGTCACATTTAAATCCAATTAATTCCTGTTTCAAAAACAATAAGTAAATAAAGAAAATCCTTTGTAAAAATTTTAACAAGTTTTATTTACTTGATCTAACCTGTTGGGGTCCTGGGTTCACTTTTTGGTGAAGTGATGGATTTTAAACTTCTGGATTTTTAGGTCGCCCTTCAAACCACCCAACAGGTTCCTGACTTGAGTTGGGAAAGTAAAGGCAGTTGGTCATTGTGCTTGCTTGTTAACCATTGGCCAAAGAAGCAGATAAACTTAACATCATCTGTCCTATTGATCTCTAGGTCTGTAAAGGGGAACTTCTATGAACCAGTTTGCATTGATGTGAAATTCCTTTCCTTTGATATTCAAATGGTCAGAAAAATTAGAAAACCCCATTTTTTCCATATGAATGTTTTCAAAATAATGAACCGGGTGGTGCTGTTACAAACGTGAAATGCTAAAAGTTCCTTTTCTAAATGTCACATTTAAATGGTCTTTCGCCATAATAAATTAACTGGTGCTGTTTGAAATTAGAATAGAAAGTAAATCCTTTCTGACACTTTGGACATTCAAATGATTAGTACAAACCAAGCAGTGTTGTGTCAAATATAAAGCACTAGAGAATCCTCTTCCACATATGTGACATTTAAATGGTTTTTCACCAGTATGATTCAGTTGGTGTTGTTTCAAATGAAAAGAATGAGTATACCCTCTCTGACATATTTGACATTTAAATGGTTTTTCATCAGTATGAGTCAGTTGGTGGTGCTTCAAGTTAATAGATTGAGAAAATCCTTTCTGACATATTTGACATTTAAATGGTTTTTCACAAGTATGAGTCAGTTGGTGGTGCTTCAAGTTAATAGATTGAGAAAATCCTTTCTGACATATTTGACATTTAAATGATTTTTCACCAGTATGAGTCTGTTGGTGGAGTTTCAAACTAGAAGAATGAACAAATCCTTTCTGACATATTTGACATTTAAATGTTTTTTCACCAGCATGAGTCTGTCGGTGGTATTTCATAATACTAGGTCTAGAAAATCCTTTCTGACATATTTGACATTTAAATGGTTTTTCACCAGCATGAGTCTGCTGGTGGTATTTTATAATACTAGGTCTAGAAAATCCTTTCTGACATATTTGACATTTAAATGGTTTTTCACAAGTATGAGTCTGTTGGTGTTTCTTCAAATCAAACGAACAAGAAAATCTTGTCTGACATATTTGACATTTAAATTGTTGTTTACCAGCATGAATCAACTCATGATTTTGTAATATTTTAGAGCTTGAAAATCCTTTCTGATAAATTTGACAAGTGAAAAGTTTATTTATTTGATGATTATCATTGCATGTAGATTTCTTGATCCTGTCAAAAACAGTTTCATTAGATAGGCTTGGTTCAATATTATCATGCATATCCTTTAGAAATACATTTGTTGACGTCATTTTTTTTTTTGCTTCATGTTTTTTATCTATTGAAAAAAAAAAATATTAAAATTAACAATAAAATTTAAATATGCATGATTTAGCAATATATTACAAAAAAAAAAAAGAACAGTCACTTATACACAGAATGGGTAAAAGCTGTTTAAGCATGTAGATTTAGCTACTTTGTGGGTTTTTGTTTCTTGTTTTTTTTCTGTTTCTAAAAACCATACCTACAGTTTATTTATTATGTTTTTTTTTCTAAATTCATATATACAGTTAAGTTATTTTGTGCTTTTTTTTTGTTTCTCAATTCATATATAGTTTAGTTAATTTGTTTGCAAGGAATTTATGAAAGGTCAGATTAATTAGATCTAATATTGATATGCTTTCAAACCATAAAGAGTAAACACTTGTTGGTTATAAATAACCAATGAGCATTAATTTTACATAACATTCTTGTCAATCTACTGAAGTCATAAAACTAATATTTCTTACTTACACAGTAGTTGACTACTACAACTTTACACTGATACAACTTTGTACATTTATACAGAGACAAATTTATACTGATTCAACTTTATACTTATACAACTGAACTTTCTTTAACTTGACTCTAAACAAGTCTTGGTTCTTCACCTGCTCAAAGACCTGCAACAACCCAAGGACTTCGACTTACCAACTTTCCCTTTATATATACTTTTTAAAATCATCTTTTCAAGAATCCTTGAAACTTAAGGACCAAATATTTCTCATATCTATCACCTTCTAGAAACTTCTGTTCCAAATATTTCTTTTTATCTATCACCTTTTAGAAACTGACATTCACAGAGAGCAAAGGATATCTTTGAACATTGCATTCATTGACCTGACAAAGGTCCTTGATCTAGTCAGCAGAGAAGGCCTCTTTAAAATCTTACAAACAGTAGGCCAAGCTGCTTAATATTATTGTCTCTTTTCACCAAATTATGATGAATACAACACCAAATCGTCAACTATGTATGGGTGCTCCACAAGGTTGTGTACTTTCTCCTGTACTGTACACTCTTTAAGCTAATGACATAAGAAGCATCTATGACTCAGTGAAACTTCGCTGATGATACTGTCATAGTCGGTCTTATTTCAGAAGACAAAACTCAGTATCAGTATCGAAGCTCGATAGAAGAGTTTACAAACTGGTCCATGACAACTTTCTAGAACTGAATGTCACAAAAACTAAACAACTTATAATAGATTTCAGAATATAAATATGTAGGCATTATCATTAATAACAAGCTTCAAGCTTTCATTGGAAGACCACCTTGGAACTCTGACAAAGAAAACAGCCCAGCCACTCTTTTCTTTTTTCTATACAAACTCAATAGCTTTAAACTAAACAAGAAGATCCTAGAGACTTTTTACGGCGCAAATGTACAAAATCTGCTAACATACGGATTAACTTGTTGGCAAGGCAACGCTTCATCTAAACTGTTGCGACGTCTAAAAAACATCATAAAAAGGGCTTCAAAAATTACATTCAAAACTTTACCATATTTAAATGAACTTGATGAACAAAAGTGAAAAATCAAAAAAATCTTGGAAGACAGCAGCCACCCGCTCTCTCAGAACTACGTCAGGTCATCGCAAAGTGGGCAACTGCTGTCAATCAAAACAAGAGCAAAGCAGTACTGTACAAAAACTCATTTGTACCTCACTCTGTCAGATTATATCACCTCCACATGTTGATCAGGGAACATGAAAAGCACCAAGATGCCTGTGTGTAGTCGCTGAATTGTGTGTGTTGTATTTATGTGAATGTTTCTCTTGTGTTGTCTTTATATGAGAAAAGAGTCCTTGTAATCACAACACATTTCCGTAAGGATCAATACAGCAGCCTTAGTCTTAGTATTGGAATACTGTGCAGTTCAACTACGACTGCTCTGAAAGTTTTAGTATAAAAAGCGGAGTCAAACAATGATGTGTCCTGGCCCCAACCCTCTTATGAATAATCTTTTCAATGCTAATCCACCATGTGTTTGACAAATCCACCAAAGGCATATATCTTCATTCTAGATTTGATGGCAAACTAAATATTGCTAGACTGAGGGCTAAAACTAAAATCAGAACCACTTTCGTAAGAGATATGCTCTTTGCGGACAACGAGCGGTAGTAGCACACTCACAAAAAGAGCTTCAGCTTCTATAAGGCTTGCAAAGAGTATGACCTTTCATTAGCACACAAAAGAAACATGTTTTGGGACCACCTGCTACATAGGTGGTAGGATGACATTAATCAAAAAAAATTTGTAAAGATCTATTTCAAAATGTTTGCAATAAAGGGTTACGCTAACTTTTATAGATGACTTCTTAAAAGCATTATTATTATAAATTAAACATAGAGTTGAAGCTAGGTGCTGAAACAAATGATACATACATATATTAAACATAAATAAATAACAGCACCAGGGACCAAGTTTTTAAGAGAGAAAGTAGTGAATTACAATGCTACGAAAATAAGGGCATGCGCCGACCGAGGCTCGAACCTGTGACCCTGGATTCGACACCACCGCCTAGCGATAACGCACCAAGCGAAACTAGCCTCTAGACCATCGGAATGTCAAAAAACATTCTTCTGATCCAGAGTCATTTCACCCGTATGCAAATTACCACCCCAGTGGTCAAAGGTCACAAGCCCCAGCCGGCCCCTCCCCCACGCTCGCAGCATCCCTTCTCTAACAACTTCGATAGAGCCGACACAGACAGCCGTTAGGCATGTATTAGACAAACGATGGCTCTATCTAATTGTGTATCTCTCACAAAGACAAGTGGACAACATAAACACATTACATATAGAAGCTTCAGTGGGTACGAGCAATAATGCTGTAAACGTAAACATAGAGTTGAAGCTAGGTGCTGAAACAAATGATACATACATATATTAAACATAAATAAATAACAGCACCAGGGACCAAGTTTTTAAGAGAGAAAGTAGTGAATTACAATGCTACGAAAATAAGGGCATGCGCCGACCGAGGCTCGAACCTGTGACCCTGGATTCGACACCACCGCCTAGCGATAACGCACCAAGCGAAACTAGCCTCTAGACCATCGGAATGTCAAAAAACATTCTTCTGATCCAGAGTCATTTCACCCGTATGCAAATTACCACCCCAGTGGTCAAAGGTCACAAGCCCCAGCCGGCCCCTCCCCCACGCTCGCAGCATCCCTTCTCTAACAACTTCGATAGAGCCGACACAGACAGCCGTTAGGCATGTATTAGACAAACGATGGCTCTATCTAATTGTGTATCTCTCACAAAGACAAGTGGACAACATAAACACATTACATATAGAAGCTTCAGTGGGTACGAGCAATAATGCTGTAAACGTAAACATAGAGTTGAAGCTAGGTGCTGAAACAAATGATACATACATATATTAAACATAAATAAATAACAGCACCAGGGACCAAGTTTTTAAGAGAGAAAGTAGTGAATTACAATGCTACGAAAATAAGGGCATGCGCCGACCGAGGCTCGAACCTGTGACCCTGGATTCGACACCACCGCCTAGCGATAACGCACCAAGCGAAACTAGCCTCTAGACCATCGGAATGTCAAAAAACATTCTTCTGATCCAGAGTCATTTCACCCGTATGCAAATTACCACCCCAAGAATGTTTTTTGACATTCCGATGGTCTAGAGGCTAGTTTCGCTTGGTGCGTTATCGCTAGGCGGTGGTGTCGAATCCAGGGTCACAGGTTCGAGCCTCGGTCGGCGCATGCCCTTATTTTCGTAGCATTGTAATTCACTACTTTCTCTCTTAAAAACTTGGTCCCTGGTGCTGTTATTTATTTATGTTTAATATATGTATGTATCATTTGTTTCAGCACCTAGCTTCAACTCTATGTTTACGTTTACAGCATTATTGCTCGTACCCACTGAAGCTTCTATATGTAATGTGTTTATGTTGTCCACTTGTCTTTGTGAGAGATACACAATTAGATAGAGCCATCGTTTGTCTAATACATGCCTAACGGCTGTCTGTGTCGGCTCTATCGAAGTTGTTAGAGAAGGGATGCTGCGAGCGTGGGGGAGGGGCCGGCTGGGGCTTGTGACCTTTGACCACTGGGGTGGTAATTTGCATACGGGTGAAATGACTCTGGATCAGAAGAATGTTTTTTGACATTCCGATGGTCTAGAGGCTAGTTTCGCTTGGTGCGTTATCGCTAGGCGGTGGTGTCGAATCCAGGGTCACA